GAGTTCATCCTACTTAACGACCTTGCTGGCCGCCCTTGTTAAGCGAATCACTGCGGTTACTAAATTAGTCACACTGTTGTTAAGTGAATCTGGCTTCAACATTGAAGATGTCGCAAAAGGAGGAATCACGTGACCCCGGGATGCTGCAACCATCACAAATACGAATCAATGGCCAAGCGTCTGAATTTTGATCACGTGACCAGGGGGAATGCTGCAACGGTCGCGAGTGTGACAAACAGTCACAGGTCACTTTTTGCAGTGCTGTGAGACGCTGCTCTTTGAACAGTCACTAAATGGACTGTTGTAAGTCAAGGACTAGTTGTTTTCTGCTAGAAAAAGAGGGTGCTAGACTCAGTCAACAAAGCAGAAGTGCAAAAGGACATTTTCCCTTATGCAAGGACAATGAATGTCACTCTACACCAGTGGTTCTCAACCTGTGGGTTGGGACCCCATTTGGGGTCGAATGACCATTTCACGGGGGTCGCCAAACAATGCAGTCCGCCATTTTTTTCCCTTTTCCCTAGCTGTCCTACTCCCTCTTATTGGTGGCCACACCCACTTGGGGGTCACCACAACATGGGGAACTGTTTTATGGGGTCACAGCATTAGAAAGGTTGAGAACCACTGAGTTAGATGATGCTGGGGAGGAGTGGGGAATGTACATGAGAGTCCAGCTAGACCAGTGGTTCTCAACCTTTTTAATGCCGCGACCCCCCAATCGGTCGTAAGTCGAGGACTACTCAACCGGTTGTAACTCGAGGACTACCCAACCGGTCGTAAGTCGAGGACTTTCCCTGCCCGGAAGCGCCGCGCATGCGTGGTGCCGCCCCCTGCGCCAGCTGAGGCGTAGCTGGCAAGGGGCAGCGACGGCGCAGGGCGACCACCGGCTGGGCCACCATCTGGCCCAGCCCAAGGGAGGTAAGGCACCCGCTGGGCCCCACGCATGCCAGCAACCCTCCCTGTGCCCGCCGGCCTCCCACCTTCCACCCCTGGCCCTCTTTTACTTACATTTTTAGTAGTTGCTCAGCAGGGAGGGGTGGAAACTTCCAGACAGCTCGCCTTCGCTGCAGACAACTTGCAGCACCGTTTGCAGAATGGGACTTTTGGCGGGCTCAGCAGGGCAGAGACAGCCTGGACAATTCCTATTGGCTTTTGAAAGCCAATAGAATTAGACTCTATTCAAGAGAGTCTATTCTATTGGCTTTCAAAAGCCAATAGAATAAAAGGGAGTAGCACAGCTAAGGAAAAGGGGGAAAAAATGGCGGACTGCGTTGTTTGGCGACCCCCGTGAAATGGTCGTTCGACCCCAAATGGGGTCCCGACCCACAGATTGAGAGCCGCTGAGCTTGACACAATAACACTGAATCTCGCGTGAGAATCAAGATTGTTGAAATACGATAGCTAGAACTTTTGGTCTCAAGGCCTGGAGACCAAAACATACGAAGAATGGCTGCTGGACTTGGGTTTGGCTAGTCTAAAGAAAAGAAGAAATAGGGGAGACATGATAGCAGTCTTCCAATATCTGAGGGGCTGCCACAAGGCAGAGGGGGTCAGGTTGTTCACCAGAGCACCAGAGGGAAGGACGAGAAACAACGGTTGGAAACTGATCAAGGAGAGATGCAACCTGGATTTAAGGAGAAACTTCCTGACAGTGAGGACAATCAACCAGTGGAACAGCTTCCCCCCAGAAATTGTGGGTGCTCCATCATTGGAGATTTTCAAGAAGAGACTGGACAATCACCTGTCTGAGATGGTGTAGGTCAGGGGAGTCAACCTTGGCTCTTTTATGACTCGTGGACTTCAACTCCCAGAATTCCTGAGCCAGCTAAGCTGGCTCAAGAATTCTGGGAGTTGAAGTCCACGAGTCCTAAAAGAGCCAAGGTTGACTACCCCTGGTATAGGTTCTCCTGCTTGAGTGGGGGCTGGACTAGAAGATCTCCAAGGTCCCTTCCAGCTCTATTCTATTCTATTCAAGTTATACATCAAGGGGATAACAAAAGTTGTCCACTTCCAACTTAGGGTACAGGGAGAACCTGGCTGTAAATATGGTTTTCCATAATCCATGGATCAGCTGGCAAGGAAACACTAGGTTCCTATCTCATGAAGCCATAATTGCTAGCTATGATTTACTAAACCCCAGTTGACTGGGGTCATATATTATACTAAACTCTAATGGGCTCTGGTTTTGGGATACTTTGGGGTGCTCTCTGAGCTTGCTTGTTTTCTTGCAGATGTTTCATTACCCAAATACACTGAGGATGTTACCTAGTTGGTAACGAAATGCCTGTGAAAAAAAATAACCAAGCTCAGAAAGCATGAAATTCAACCATGCGCTACAAATATTCTGTACTATTGAGTTACTTTATATGCAAAATTATGTACTCATTCAGGCTGAGGTGGGAGAAATAATTTTATTCCATGCCCCTTTGTAATGAATATAAAATAAAAACTTGCTCTAAGTTGACCTGTTGTACACATAGTGTTTTGCTTTACTATGGTTTGCTGAGTAAGTTACAACCGACTGGATTAACTTAATACTAAATTACAAAGTGTCATTTTCAAATCACTACCCTCTAAGCCCAAATCAAAGCAGCCATGTTATATAATGGAGTGTAGGGTTCACATGACCTGTGAAAATTATGAGTAGGTCAACCACAATGTGCTGTGTAAATACAACCAAACTCAAACCAATGTTAGCCCATTGTTGTCTGTTTTTAAGCTGAGCTCACACAGTATGTTTAGCCATAACATGGTTATGTTGGTTTAAGCCCTTTTGCAGTGTTTCCCAAACTTGACAATTTTAAGGCATGAGGACTTCAATTCCCAGAATTCCACAGCCAGCAATGCTGGCTGTGGAATTCTGGGAGTTGAAGTCCACATGCCTTAAAATTGTCAAGTTTGGGAAACACTGCCCTATTGCATAAATTATGGCTTAGAGATGAGATTTTGACCCCCCCCCCTCGCCCACTGCTGGATCTTATTTGACAAACCATCGATAAGCCATAGTTTAGGGCTTCTGTGATGTATGGGCAGAGCAACTAAATTATTGCAGAGAAGTTCACTTCTATATATTGTGTAAGGTTGATTGTATAATATATTGTTACGGATTTGTGTCAGAGAAAACTCTGCCCACTCAATGGATCAAATTATTTGCTGTATTTAATCATCACATTGTCATGAATGCACAGTTCGCTGAGTTTACATATTAAAGCATAAACCCTATTTTAAAGGGGGGGAAACACTGCCACTTGGAATACTGTAGCCTCTTTTCGTCACCACAATATAAAAAAAAAATATTTAAACTCTAGAAATAGAGTACAGAGAAGATCAGTAAAAATGATTAGGGGATTGGAGGCTAAAACATACGAAGAACGGTTTCAGGAATTGGGTATTTCTAGTCTAGTGAAAAGGACTAGGAGTGACAAGACAGCAGTGGTGCAATATTTGAGGGGCTGCCACAAAGATTAGGGGGCAAACTATTCTCCAAAGCACCAGAAGGCAAGACAAGAAACAATGGATGGAAACTAATCAAGAAGAGAAGTAATCTGGAATTAAGGAGAAATTTCTTGGCAGTTAGAACAATTGACCAATGAAACGACCTGCCTTTAGAAGTTGTGGGTGCTCCATCACTGTAGGCTTGTAAGAAGAGACTGGATATTTGCACATATGAAATGGTTCAGGGTCTCCTGGTTTGAGCAGGGGTTGGATTAGATCCAAGATCCCTTCTGTTATTCTGGTTTACACAATACTCTGACCCATATTAACTGATTACGGTTTAACATTCTGTGTGGTTAAGAGACAACAGGAGCTATGTCTGCTCTCCAAGCCTAATGCACTCTTTACAAGCCTAGGAACCTCCAGATAATGGGAATACAATCTCCAGAAGTCCCTACTAATACTATATAGCGGGGGGGGGGTGTCTTCAAACTTGGCACCTTTTATGACTTGTGGACTTCAACTCCCAGAATTCCTCAGCCAGGCACGCTGGCTGAGGAGTTCTGGGAGTTGAAGTCCGCCAGTCATAAAAGGGCCAAGTTTGAAGAACCCCTACTATATAGTCAGTTTCTCTGGAGGATGGCAATAGGGGGAAACTGCAATAGAACCAGACTGACATTCATAAGTGAATAAGGTCTAACATACAAGCAATAAGCCTAACCATCTTGAAGACCACATCTACAGTACATGATTTTTTAGGTTCTTTGGCACTGTATATTTAGTCTGTTACTCCAAGTTCAACTCAGTCCTTTTCCGATTCGCTAAAGCTGTGCTCATCCAGCACACGACCCCCAAGGCTAAGCCTGAGAAGAAAAATATCACATTATGTCTTAGCTTGCTGTGTAAATTAGGTCATCACAGCAGGCTAATTTTTCCTTCAGCTCTACACATATGAGCACAGCTACTTTATGAATCATGATTTGATCATAATGCTTTTTTTTTCCTGTGACGTGCTAGAACTCTGGCTTAGCCACTGTTGGCTGTAAATCAGGGTTTATGGTGTAGCCTGTTATCCAAACACAGAATAAAACTTTATCCATGCTCAGCTGGAAACAAAGAAGATGGCTCCCACAAGCATGTGTTTTTCTTCATTCCGTGCCTGAATTTGTGGAGCGATGATGAAAAGGAAGCAGCTGTAGGAGTAAGTAAATTATTTAAAAATTCTTAGACAAGTGGCAAACTTGATTAACTCCCCAGCAACAGCCCTATTTTGCTGAGTCATCCTCTCTCCCTCAATTATGAGTTGAGGAACAAATGGTTTTCTATTGGGTATCACTCCTAATAGGAGACCTTCACCAGTTCCAGGAGCTGCATTAGAATCACCTGGACCCAGGACCTTGGCTAGTTTCAATTGGTCACACTCAGCCCATCCATAAATCTGATTGGTCAGTTGGTCCTGAAGATGCTTGCTATTGGCCAATGCTATTGTTAATTGGTTACCCACCTCTACATATTGTATATAAGATCAAGTTGATGCTCTCTTTCACACCCATTGACCAGTAGAACTTCTGGACCTGCCTTTGTCTCTTCTCATGATGGCTTCTCAGATCCGTCAGAACTACCATGCTGAATGTGAGGCTGCCGTAAACCATTTGGTGAACATAGAACTCCATGCTAGCTATGTCTACTTGTCCATGGTAAGTTGCTTTGAATTTACTTTAACTAGAAAATGTTTGCATCTTATTTTATTGAGTTGGGCAAACTTAGACTTCAGCACTGTAGTTTTAAACTGTAAAGGGCTTTATTAGTTGTGGGTAATGTACCTCTGTTAAATCTTAATGGTGAGGAAATAGCCAACTTGAATATTTATTGAGGTCTTGGACCTTTGAGTCATAGTAACCAAGACTTTAACATTTGAGAAAGTATTTTATTGAATGTTTCATAAGCTCTTTATAGAGAAATAATACCTTCAATGAACATAAAACTCTGGAAGCAACTTCTAGCTTTACAGTTAACAGTAATTAGGTCAACTATTAAATTATGGTGTTGAGGTTATTGCAATGGAATTAACATGCTGTGAGTAACGATGCAGTAATTTTAAAAAGCAAGAGACTCTTTGAAAGTATGACAAACTCTTGGGTCTCTTTTATGCAGTAGTAAGTCTACCATTCTACTTAGCAGTATAATAGCAATTTACAACTTGCCTTGGGAAGCTATTGGGCTATTGAAGTTTATTTCAGTTGTGTATGTACATGCACATACCCATAAGCAATTGATAAAAGCTTAATGCTTAGAGCCTATTTTAGATTTTATATTTAGATCCTTTAGCACTTTTAGATGCTTCTAAAAATCTAATTTGTTCTTTCTGGTTGCCTCCACCTTTCTAGGCCCATCACTTTGACCGTGATGATGTAGCTTTGTGCCACGTGGCCAAGTTCCTGAAGGAACAATCCCAGGAAGAAAAAGAACATGCTGATAAGTTTCTGAAGTATCAAAACAAGCGAGGAGGACGTATTGTGTTGCAGGATATCAAGGTGAGATCTGGAACCTCGGAGCTTTCATGAAAGGGGACAAGGGTAGTAATAGAATGAGATCTGACAGCAAAGTAGCCATGGATGTACCTAACCATGAAATCTGGTATTTTACTACACAGAAGCCAGAGAAGGACGAATGGGGCAACAGTCTAGATGCCTTGGAGCATGCTCTGCACCTGGAGAAGGAAGTCAACCAGGCCTTGCTGGATCTGCACAAGCTGGCAACAGAGAAAGCAGACCCTCATGTAAGTAAACTGCTGCAATAGCAAAGATAGGAGGGCAAGGCCAGAGGTAGCCTTATAGTAGTAAAGTTGGAAGGGACCTTGGAGGTCATCTAGTCCAACCCCCTGCTCGGGCAGGAAACCCTACACCATTTCAGACAAATGGCTGTCCAGTCTCTTCTTAAAGAGGGAGAGTTCTTGGGAGACTTCTGTTTCTTTAAAAAAAAGAAACATTGGGTTTTGTAGGCACCTAGAATAATGCTACTGTTCCTGAGCACCTTCATAACTTTTTGGGCCCAAATAGTTGGACTGTTTCTATACTCCTTGTAGATGCTGTCCTTTTTACAAAGGCAGTCATGTGGCTTGTTCAATAGAATAACAGACCTTGGAGGTCTTCTAGTCCAACCCTCAGAACTTTTTCTAGAGAGAAGTAAATGGAAGCTAACTTTGGAGGTTTGTGGTAGACCAGGGGGTCTTCAAACTTAGCCCTTTTTATGACTTGGGGACTTCAACTCCCAGAATTCCTCAGCCAGGCATGCCTGGCTGAGGAATTCTGGGAGTTGAAATCCACAAGTCATAAAAAGGGCCAAGTTTGAAGACCCATGTGGTAGATGTTCTCTTTAATATAGCAAATTTTCTCTCTTTTTTTTTTTTTTGTCCCCTCAGCTCTGTGACTTTCTGGAGAACGAATACCTGGAAGAGCAAGTGAAGGCCATCAAGCTTCTGGGAGATCACTGCACAAACCTGAGGCGCCTGGGGCTGCCTCAGAATGGCATGGGCGAATACCTCTTTGACAAGCTCACCTTACGCGAGAGCAGCTAAACCTCCTTCTGTTGATTGGTGCAGTTTATCTTGGCAGGAAAAAAAAGAAATAAATAAATGATTGGCATTGTGTGAATGGTGTTTTTGTGTTTCCGTCATCAATACAGAAAGCTTACTCGTGCTGGGTTCTAGATGCTTAGCCACAATGGAGTCGAGTAATCCAAATAGATGGGGAAGAAATGGAGGTAGTGACAGATTTTATTTTTTTGGGCTCTAAGATCACCTCAGAGGGGGACTGCAGCCAAGAAATTAAAAGACGCTTGCTCCTGGGGAGGAAAGCTATGGCAAATCTAGACAGCATACTAAAGAGAGACATCACCCTGCCAACAAAAGTGCGTATAGTCAAGGCCATGGTTTTCCCAGTTGCAATGTATGGCTGTGAAAGTTGGACCATAAGAAAGGCTGAGCGCCAAAGAATTGAGGCCTTTGAACTATGGTGCTGGAGAAGACTCCTGCGAGTCCCTTGGACTGCAAGGCGTTCAAACCGGTCAGTCCTAGAAGAGATCAACCCCGACTGCTCTTTAGAAGGCCAGATCCTGAAGTTGAAACTCAAATACTTTGGCCACCTAATGAGAAGGAAGGACTCACTGGAGAAGCGCCTAATGCTGGGAAAGATTGAGGGCAATAGAAGAAGGGGACGACAGAGAATGAGGTGGCTGGATGGAGTCACTGAAGCAGTAGGTGTGAATTTAAATGGACTCCAGAAGATGGTAGAGGATAGGAAGACCTGGAGGAACGTTTTCCATGGGGTCGCGATGGGTCGGACACAACTTCGCAATTAATACCAACAACAAATCCAAACCCACTCTTGTAGACTTGGTTAAGGGGGCTGAACTCTGGGGACTTGTGAGAAAAGTCGGCCAGTTCTTAAACAAGGATTCTTAAATAAGCCATAGTAGCTTCAACCTTCCTATAACTGAATGGAAATCGGTTAAAATGGGGGATGTAGGGTAGCCCATTTTATTGTAGGAATGGTCACACTTGAGCTTTTGTTGAGTCACATTCTGTTGTTCCCAGAGGCAACTGGACTTTGTTTTTCCTTGATGGTTTCACTTGTCATTCTAGAAGCTTCCTTAGTTCAGACCAGCTTCTTGAATGAGAAGGGAAACGTCTTCAAGGAAACATCGAAGTCCAGTTGTATCTTGAAAAAAGCACCCTTGGGACAATCATGGCCTGGATGACCGAGAATCTCCACAGATATCAAGTTTAGTTCTTTAACAAATGTGAAATTCACCTTTGCCATGTCTTCAGCCATATGGTTTAATTTGGCTTAGTTTGGCAGTTCCTGTCTTTTAAGTAGTTATAGTCCTGGTTTAAAACTCTATTCAGGCACTAGAATAATTTATGAAACTGAAAGACCATTCCTGGAACTTGAAACTAAGAAAATGGCATTCTTAAACTAACATTCCTGAAGCATATATGTTCCCCAGATACTAAATTTCACTTCCAAGAATCCTTGTCTAGTGTCTCTTGGAGTTGAATCCCAACAATAGAAAAATACAATTTTTCATCGTCCTATCTCCTTATCAAACCAAGATGCACATGAAAGTATTTCTCCAGCTTTTGCTTTAAGTCAAGAGTGGGGAACTATGACCCTTATATGACTTGTGGACTTCAACTCCCAGAATTCCTGAGGCAGCCATCAGGAATTCTGAGAGTTGAAGTCCACAAGCTATAAAGGGCCATAGTTCCCCACCTCTGCTTTAAGTCAATCTCAGCCTTTCCCGTAGGTCATAATACTGTTTTGCCTGTTTTCTCATAATACTAGGAAGTTACTTTTTCTAACTAAGCAATTTGTGGCTTTGCATGTTATGCTAACCCAGGGGTCTTCAAACTTGGCCCTTTCATGACTTGTGGACTTCAACTCCCAGAATTACTCAGGAATTCTGGAGTTGGTCCACAAGTCATAAAAGGGCCAAGTTTGAAGACCCCTGTGCTAACCCCACCTTATTGTGGCCTATTCCATTAACCAGCAAGGTTTGCACATCATTAAGGCATTTTAACCAATCTATGCCTTTTCAATTCTTGATAAAACACTGAAGGAAAGAAAATTATGCAGGTAACTAATCTTGTAAAGTTATCTCTGTAACTTAAATTACTTCTTTTCTGCACTAAACAGATTAGTTGTTTTTTTTTTTCATTTGGTAAGGACTCTTTAAGATAACCATTAAGATTACGGCATTCTTAAACTAACATTCCATATATTTAAACTCAACTACAAGAATCCTTATCTGTAGTGTCTAGAGCAGTGGTTCTCAACCTGTGGGTCGGGACCCCATTTGGGGTCGAACGACCATTTCACAGGGGTCGCCAAACAAGGCTGTCCGCCATTTTTTTTCCCTTTTCTTTGGCCATGCCCCTGGCACCCGGTGATGTATAAGTGGTTGGGGGTCTCCACAACATGGGGAACTGTATTATGGGGTCGCGGCATTAGAAAGGTTGAGAACCACTGGTCTAGAGATAGAAAATACAATTTTTCAAAAGCTTTGGGGAGATTTGGAATTAAATATCACATTTCTGACTGTTGCTCACTTCAGAAGGCTGAATTTGTATTCATGAAGAGACCCCAGATATATCCAGAAGTGTTTCTAACAACCAATGTCCACTTCATTATGATTAAATTCTAGATGACAAATGACATAATCCGTGCGCATTTTAAATTCTGGGGTTTTTTGATGTGTGTCATAATGCAGATGAATTATTTAGACCATGACATTCAACACAGACTCATTAAAATTTCGGCCTCACATTTGGAAGCCTCTCTCTCCTCTCTCTACGATTATTAATAAAGAGCATCCTTTTATTTCCACATGATTGCAATATTTTCAGGAGAGATGGCATTTATCTTTTTAACCATCTAAGCCTGACAAGTTCATAAAGGTGGTAATTTCTGGTGAGAGCAGCTGTCGTGAATCATATTTACTTTCTTCAAAGTCCGTTTCACTTAAGCTCATAATCTTCAGCAACAGTCAAGTACTATCTCCTCTAGCGCTATGTATGTCTTTTTTCCTAGAACAAGAATTGGAATCTGAGACAGATTCCAGACCTCAGCGAAGTCTGAGGGAGACTGGACAGATTTATTACAGTTAATTAAAAATTACTTCTCTTTGCACGTTGATCAGAAGATAGGCCTATTTTGGAGACTGGGTTTACTATATTTCATTAAACAACCATTGACCAGAGACGGTATTAAGAAACAAACACGGATATTTGATCCAGGAAGATTTGTTTATAACTTTTGGGGATGATTTGATATAGATAAGATACTGCGGTAAATTTTCTATGACTGGATTACAAGAACAATCTGTTTAACAGGCTTTTGAAACTTTCATTTTGTTTTGTTTTACTAATACAGGTAGATCATAGCTGGCTTTCATGCCTAAGGCAGGACTAGAACTCACAGGATTCTGCTGATTGGCCCAAAGTCGCCCAGCTGCAGAATAATGTGACCCCCTCTTCTTTGTGGCAGCCCCTCAAATACTGGAATATTGCTATCACGTCCCCCCTATTTCTTCTTTTCTTTAGCCAAACCCAAGTCCTGCAGCCGTTCTTCGTATGTTTTAGTCTCCAGGCCTTTGATCATCTCTGAATTTTTTACAGAGAAGAGCAACAAAGGTGATTAGGGGACTGGAGGCTAAAACATATAAGGAACGGTTGCTAGAATTGGGTATGTCTAGTTTAACAAAGAGAAGGACAAGGGGAGACATGATAGCAGTATTTCAATATCTCAGGGGCTGCCATAAAGAAGAGGGAATTAAATTCCAAAGCACATGAAGGCAGGACAAGAAGCAACGGATCGAAACTAATCAAGGAGAGAAGCAACCTAGAACTAAGGAGAAACTTCCTGACAGTGAGAACAATTAACCAGTGGAACAACCTGCCTCCAGAAGTGGTGAATGCTCCAACACTGGAAGTTTTTAAGAAGAGACTGGACGGCCATTTGTCTGAAATGGTGTAGGGTTTCCTGCCTGAGCAGGGGGTTGGACTAGATGACCTCCATGGTCCCTTCCAACTTTACTACTATTACTATTACTAACATCTTTTTTGTAGTACATTAAAAACTGTAAAAAATAATTGGGAACTTAATATATAAAACAAAAGCTGAAATTAAAAAGGAAGATATTAAATGTCTTCTTTAAAGGAATCAGATGCCTATGACTGTGTACGGTACAGATCCAGGAATTACCCACTAAGCTGAAATCTTTCTGAGCTGCTTCCTAATTCCTTTTAAACTGCAGGGAACCGTTCAATAGGGAAGCAATTGTATTAAAGCACTGTATTCTGATCTTAAAAAATGATAGCTTTGTACCCAAGAAGCCTACAAATTTAAAATGGGATGTAATTTGCCCGGTTTTTCTAACTTAGTGTATATCCCCAAAGACAAGATAGTGTCACAAAATGCTTTGAAATGCCTTTAATGGAACAAATTGCTAAAAAGGTAATATATGGTACAACTGCTTTTGCCCTGCAAAGCAGGCTTGGAGGTGCAGAATAACAGAATAACAAGAGTTGGAAGGGACCTTGGAGGTCATCTAGTCCAACCCCCTGCTCAGCCAGGAAACCCTATAGCATTTCAGACAAATGGCTGTCCAGTCTCTTCTTAAAAAACTTCCAGTGCTGGAGCATTCGTAGCTTCTGGAGGCAGGTTGTTCCACTGATTAATTGTTCTGTCTGGAAATTTCTCCTTAGTTCTAGATTGCTTCTCTCTTTGATTAGTTTCCATCCATTGCTTCTTGTCCTGCCTTCAGGTGCTTTGGAGAATAGCTTGGCTCCCTCTTCTTTGGGGCAGCCCCTGAGATATTGGAACGCTGCTATCATGTCACCCCTCATCCTTCTCTTCATTAAACTAGACATATCCAATTCCAGCAACCGTTCCTTATATGTTTTAGCCTCCAGTCCCCTGATCATCTTTGTTGCTCTTCTCTGTACTCTTTCTAGAGTCTCAGCATCTTTTTTACATCGTGGGTGACCAAAACTGGATGCAATATTCCAAGTGTGGCCTTACTAAGGCATTGTAAAGTGGTACTAA